TAAGCAATGACATCATTACTTAAATGATGTAAGCAATGACATCAGTTTAGTTTGGGTTTGAGTTTAGGCTCCCATAATGGATCAAGTTTATGATCCAACACCCCCCCTTAAACTTGATCTTGTGACCTCTAGTAAGTTCCTTAATCTTATGAAGTCTTCACTTTTCAGTGACTTGGTAAAAATATCGGCAACTTGATCTTGTGACTTCACGTATTCAACTTCCACATCGTTTCTTTGAACACACTCCCTTCTATAGTGGTAGCGAATGTCGATGTGCTTGCTTCGATCATGGAATACTGGATTCTTTGATAAGGCAATGGCTGATTTGTTGTCGATACAAACCTTGGTAGGCTCTTCTTGTATCAAACCTATCTTCTTCAATAGATTTCTAAGCCAAATTGCATGACAAACACATGAGGTAGCAACAACATATTCCGCTTCACAAGTGGACAATGTGACAATCGGTTGTTTCTTTGACATTCATGTGAACGCAATATCTCCCATGAAAAAAACGAATCCAGTAGTGCTCCTTCGATTATCTATGTCTCCACCCCAATCACTGTTGTTATATCCAACAAGCTTGTAATCATTAGAAACTGAATAGAACAAGCCAAATTCAATTGTACCTTTCAGACAACAAAGAATTCTCTTTGCGGCTTTAAAATGGGTTGTTGTTGGAGATTCCATGTAGCGACTAACCAATCCAACTTCGTGAAGAATATCGGGTCTCGTGCAAGTTAGGTAGCGTAGACTTCTTATCAAACTTTTGAAGAATGTTGGATCAACACTTTCGCCTTCTTCATGTTTGGTCATCTTGATCCCGAATTCTTCCGGTGTGCTTATTGGCTTATAGTTCTCCATCTTGAACTTCTTCAGTATCTCCTTTGCATAGCTTTCCTGTGAAATGAAAATTCCATCCTTTTGTTGCTTAACTTCAATGCCCATGTAGCACACCATGAGCCCCATGTCTGTCATCTCGAATTCTTTCATCATCATATCCTTGAATTCATTAAACATGCTTGGGTTGCTTCCGGTGAAGATCAAATCGTCCACATAGAGGCACACGATCAAAATATATTCATCTTTGATCTTGATATATAGAGCATGCTCGTAGGGACATTTGTTGAAGCCATTCTCTTGGAAGTACTTGTCGATTCGGCTATTCCATGCCCTTGGTGCTTGTTTTAGCCCGTAAAGAGCCTTCTTCAACTTCAACACCTTGTCTTCGTGCCCTTTGACTTCATAGCCTGATGGTTACTCAATGTAAACTTCCTCTTCAAGAAATCCATTTAGGAAGGTATACTTAACATCCATCTGTTGTATCTTCCACTTGTTTTGAGCTGCCAAAGAAATGATTAGTCTGATAGTCTCCAATCGAGCAACAGGAGCAAATACCTCATCATAGTCAATTCCAGCCTTTTGACTATAGCCTTTAGCAACTAGCCTCGCTTTGTGCCTTTCAATCTCTCATTTGGCGTTTTGCTTTGTTTTGTACACCCATTTGACACATATCGCCTTATGTCCCTTGGAAGTGAGGTAAGTTCCCATGTGTTATTCTTCTCGATGGCCTTGATTTCTTCATCCATCGCATCTCTCCATTTCTTTTCTTGTACCGCTTCTTGAAAGCTCACTGGTTCACAATCGGCAAACAAAAAAAATAATGTAAGATTATCTTATCGTTCAGTTACCTCATAGAGATCTCTAAGGCTTCTTGTACGTTGCACAACTCTTTCACTTTGACTCCTACTTGACGATGACGAAGGTGATGAGTCTCCTTGAGTAGCTGATATTGGTGAAGTGGGTGGAGTTTCAAGCTCTTGTTGAGGTTTACCCAGTTGTTCCCTCATTGTCTGCTCATCTTCTTCAAATTGAGGAAAGAAATTAAAGTCATCTACATGAGAGTTAAAATCCCATTCTCCTTCTTCGTTGAAGACCACATCTCGACTAATCATAATCTTCTTATTGTCTGGATTGTATAGCTTGTAGCCCTTCGAATTAGCATCATAGCCGATGAAGATAAAACTCTCACTTTTATCATTAAACTTTGTTCTTCTCTCATCTGGTACGTGAACATGGGCTATACTTCCAAAGGTTCTCAAGTGAGAAATGCCAGGTTTTCTTCCACTCCATGCCTCTTGCGGTGTCTTTCCCCATACACTTCTTGTTGGAGATCGGTTTGACAAGTAGACTGCACACGATACTGATTCCGCCCAAAATTCCTTGGGTAGTTTCTTACTTTTGAGCATGCTTCGTGCCATGTCGAGGATTATTCTGTTCTTTCTTTCTACCACACCATTTTGTTGGGGGTATCTAAGAACTGTTATTGGTTGACGAATTCCATTTGCTTCACAAAACTCTTGAAACTCTCTGGAAGTAAATTCTCCACCTCGATCGGATCTCATGGCTTTGATCTTTCTACCGCTTTCTCTCTCCACTGCTGCTTTGAACTTCTTGAAGACTTCAAAAACTTATGACTTCTGTTTCAAGAAATATACCCAGGTTTTTCTTGAAAAATCATCGATGAAGAGAAGAAAATAGTTATTGTTACCGAGAGAGCTTGGCTTGATCGGTCCACACACATCGGTATGGATGAGCTCAAGTGGCTTCTTGGCTCTTGGCTCTGACTCCTTTGGAAAGCTTTTCCTAAATTTTTTCCCGACTAGACACCCTTCACAAAGCTGGTCAGGATGGTTGATGCGAGATAATCCCTTCATCATCTCCTTCTTAGATAAAAGCTCTAGACCTCCAAAATTGAGATGCCCAAATCGAATATGCCAAAGTCATGATGCATCTTTGTAGCAAGCTTTCAGGCACTTTGCAACATCACTTTGTATGTTGATCAAGAACATTTTATTCTTTGACATCGGCACTTTAGCAATGAAGTTATTCTTATCATCTTTTATAGAAAGATTATAATTATTCATATGAATATCATAATCTTTCTCTACCAGTTTCCCTAAACTTAAGATGTTACTTTTCATATTGGGCACATAGTAGACATTTGAAATAAATTGATGTCTCCCATCTTTCAAACGGATAAGAATGTTACATCTCCCTTTCACTGTTATTGTGGAATCATCTCCAAATGAAACATTTCCGCTTACTGACTCGTCTAGCTCCACGAACATGTCTTTTCTTCCACACATGTGATTGTTTGCACCACTATCAAGATACCAGGAATTTGCTTGGCCACCATTAGTTTCCTTTCGTGCTAGAAGAAGAGTTTCTTTGCCATCTGTCTTTTCCTCCACGTAATTGGCATTCTCCTCAATTTTTTTATTGAGAGCTCTACATTCTGAAGCATAATGCCCAAACTTCTGACAATTATAACATCGTACTTGAGATTTGTCATGCCTTGAGTTCGGATTGATTCTTCCACGGCCTCGTGTTGAGCTTTCTCCTTTCTCATAGTTGTTATTGGAATTGTTTTTGTTGTAATTCCAGTCTCGTCCACGACCTCGACTTCCACCTCGTCCATGACCTTTACCTCTGCCTTGGCCACGTTGGTTTCTATCATTGCGTTGGCTCTCATGCATATCCTTGAGTTGTAGCTTGAGGAGTTGCTCAGTAAACTCATGCTTCTTCTTATGCTTCTCTTCGTATGCTTGTAATGATCATTGGAGTTGCTAGATCGTCATTTCTTTCAAGTCTTTAGTTTCTTCAATCGTCACGATGATGTGCTCAAATTTGGGATCCAACGAACAGAGTATCTTCTCTATTATCCTCACATCTTCTAACTTTTCACCATTTCTTTTTAATTGATTAGAAACAACTACTACTCTTGAGAAATAATATGAAATAGACTCAGATGCTTTCATGTGTAAGGATTCGAATTCACCTCTTAATGTTTGGAGACGAACCTTATTCACTTGCTCGGATCCTTTGTGAGAGGTTTGCAGCTTCTCCCATGCTTCCTTGCTAGAGCTTGCACTTGAAATCTTTTCAAAACCATCATCATCTAATGCCTAATAGATGAGGTAGAAAACATTCTTGTCTCTCTTTCTTGAATCCTTCAAAGTTATCTTTTGATCTGGTGTAAGAGTAGCAAAATCATCATCATCCGCAGGCTCGTTATAGTCTTTCTCTATGATATCCCACACATCTTGTGATTCAAGAAATACCTTTATTTTGATATTTCAATTGTCGTAATTGTTGTTGTTGAGTGTCGAAACTTGGAATGGTGTCATACCATTTGTCATATCTCTCAATATAATGAGAATTTGCAAAATCCGATTGCACGGATGAATACGAAATGCCAAAAAAAACTTTGGGAGGGACTTGGACAACTCGATCAATGGGCTCCAACTCTGTGAGTCAAACTCGATTTTTGGCAGCAGTTTTCCAGCAGTGCGTGGCGGTGCGTCAGAACTCAGATTGATAAAATTCTGGCAGCGTCGTATTCCTCTCGTTGAGACCTTCGATCTTTCTAACTCGCTCTGATACCACTTTGTTGGAAATAAAACACTCACACAAACAACTTTTATTGAAACTCAAACAAATATTACAAGAGCACTCTCACTCAAAACCAAGAACTACAACTCACTCTTATAAGACTTTACTTCTTCACTCACTTAGAAGCTCTTAATTTTTCTTAATGCTTAAAACTAAAATGGGGAGGGATATTTATATTACTCAAGATCAATCTTACACCACACAATTAAATTAATTTAAACCATTACAAATTCAACAAATACCTAACTCTCACCTAATTAAATTAATGTAAACAATATCATTATTACTTAAATGATGTAAACAATGACATCAATTTAATTTAAATTTGAATTTAAACTCCTATAATTGATAAGTTTATAATCCAACAATCAGACCTATACGAAGCGCGCTCAACCATACGGCCTGACGGGGTTCCCAAACGCACGGTCACCGTCACCGGCCTTGGCCCTTTCGAGGCTCGTATGGTCGAAGAACAAAAAAGCCCAATTGAACTCTGGGAAATACCCTCTCTATTTCTTTCGTTTTCATATCTCTTTCGATTTATTTGTCCTTAACCTTCTCAGAAATTAACTCCGAAGAAACCAGCAGGTCCACTAGCTTCGTTCAGTACCCATTTCTCCAAACTACAGCCACAATACCTTGAGAAAACAGTCACCACACTATCTGCCTTCTCCTTCATACCTCCCTTATCTATTTAGTGTATATATATACCTTCCATATCGTTGCACTAGCATTTCAGCAGAAAGTAGAAACCGGAGAGAAGTTTCGATCTTTGTGTGAGCCCCAGGTGTTCGATTATAAGTTTAATAGAAGTTTGAATTTTGGGGTAATACCCAAGGTTAGACATTGTAGACATCACGGCTATACGCGAAGTTATTCGGCCTAGCTTTCATGTCCGAGCTGTACGCCGTAAGGGTTGTGTGATCGAGAGAAACCCTTCGCCGCACGGTGGACGTGGAGCTTTGCCTTCTGAAGGCGGTAGTCCTTCCGATCTTCTCTTCCTTGCTGGTGGTGGTATTGTCTGTTAGACTTCAGTGCCTTATTTAACTAGGTTATAAGCCTGTAAAATAATAATATCCAAGAAGCTTGTTTTTCGTTTTGTCGTTGTATTTGGGTGTTCTTTGTTTGATTTTTTATTGGATAAAAAAGAAGAAGTGAAGTATTAGCAAAGATGATGCAGCTCAGTATCAAGAGGGTTCCCACTGTTGTTTCGAATTACCAAAAGGATGAGGCCGAAGAAACTGATCGCCGGAGCGGTGGATGTGGAAAGAATTGCCTTAGAAGCTGTTGCATTCCAGGTATTTGTTAGATTTACTTTGTAAACATTCCTCGGATGGATAACTTTTTATAGAAATGATTTGTAATTGGAAGCGGGTTTTGGTTTATAGGAGCAAAACTTCCTTTATATGCTTTCAAGAAGGTGGGCAATATTGAGAATGAAAAAGATGTGCCTGAAATTGAAAACAAAGAGCCTCCAATTGCTTTTCTTGATTCTCTCGTTCTTGGGGAGGTAAAATCTGCTATTAGTTTGGCGAATAAACTTTAAGTTCTTCGTTATGTTTAATGGTGGTTGTGTTAACAAATGTCAAGGTTGAAAAATGTTTTATGGTTTTATGGTAGTGGGAGGATCGCATGCAAAGAGGGCTCTTTCGATATGATGTCACTTCCTGTGAAACGAAGGTGTTATCTGCCGCTGCTTTTCTATTCCATTGATTCACTTGCTTATCTGAGATTGTGAAAACTGTAAACTTAATAGTTAATTGAGTTGTTGTACCATCTAAAATGTTTGTGGATATCATTCTTTAGGTGATCTCTGGTGAATATGGCTTTATTGCCCAGCTGAACGAGGGTCGGCACCTTAAGAAGAGGCCAACTGAGTTCCGTGTTGATAAGGTTCTACAGCCCTTTGATGGGAACAAGTTCAACTTCACCAAAGTTGGACAAGAAGAGGTGCTTTTCCAGTTTGAATCAAGTGAAGATGATGAAGTTCAGTTCTTCCCGAAAGCTCCCATTGATGTTGAGAATTCTCCAAGTGTTGTTGCCATAAATGTATCTTAGTCTACTTATTCAAACTATGGTATTGCTAGGCTCATACTATTAAACATTGTTTGTATACAATTTGACAGGTTAGTCCTATTGAATACGGGCATGTGCTTTTGATCCCTCGAATTTTCGAATGCTTCCCCCAGAGGATTGACCACAAGAGCTTCTTGCTCGCACTCTATATGGCAACTGAATCTGGGAATCCGTTCTTCAGATTGGGTTACAACAGCTTGGGTGCATTTGCTACAATCAATCACCTACACTTCCAGGTATCTAACCTCCCAATGGTACTCTTCATGTAATTTAACTTTCAGATGTAGTTTGTGTACAAATCAGAAAGGAGATAGTGGTTTATCTATTGCAATCACTGCAGGCCTACTACTTGGCAGTTCCATTTCCCATCGAGAAAGCTCCTACTAAGAAAATAACCACTTTGAAGGATGGTGTGATTATCTCGGAACTTTTAAAGTATCCAGTCAAAGGTCTTGTCTTTGAGCGTGGTGACACTCTCCGAGACTTGTCTGACACTGTGTCTGATGCTTGCATTTGCCTTCAAGATAACAACATACCATACAATGTCCTCATCTCTGATTGTGGAAAGCGGATCTTTCTCCTTCCTCAGGTAACTAACTAGAAGTATGGTTGATACCTTTTTGTTCATCTCCATGATTACCTATAGTTTCTTGCAATTGAATTGCAATATGTAAATTGAACCAACAGTGTTATGCTGAGAAACAAGCACTTGGGGAGGTGAGTTCAGAGCTCTTGGACACCCAGGTGAACCCCGCGGTGTGGGAAATTAGTGGTCATATGGTGTTGAAAAGGAGGAAGGACTATGATGAGGCATCTGAGGAAAACGCTTGGAGGCTCCTTGCAGAGGTTTCCCTCTCTGATGAGAGGTTCCAAGAAGTGAATGCACTTATCTTCGAAGCCATTGCTGGTGGCGAAGATGGCATTGAAAATGTTGCAGTGATTGAGGAGCGTGATACCGAAGCTCAATCTCTTGAAAAAGAGAATGTAATCGCCGAAAGCTCCCACCATGCTATGGTTGCTGGGACACAAGAATGCCTTGTCCTGCAGTAAGGATCAGCATTCAGTCAACAGAACCCTGTTTAGAAATTCTATGAATTATGGCACTTGTAGCCTAAATAAGCAAAAACTAAGTCTGCATTGTTGTTATCGTCTTTGTTTAAACTGCTATATGCATATTAGCTTCATGGACTTTATTGAATTATGTAAAAATACAATGTACTGCTAGCTGTTATAAGATAATAAATGCACATTACTGTGTCCTAGCTTTTAATTCATTTTCTTCTAAATTAATATAAATATAAAATTGATAGAATTTTTAAATGTTAAAGATTTATTGAATTATTTTGTACTAGGATCAATTCTATAGAATGTACAAGGGATTAAAATTAGAGAAAATAACTTCAGTGACCAAAAATCTCATATAAATATACGATTTTAACCAATTTTTTCCGGATTTGTCAAAATGACCAACAAAATCACAATGCGATCGCTAATTCGCAACGCGATCTTCATTATCGCAAATTCGCGTTGCATTTTCGCAATGCGATAGTTGAAAATCGCGTTGCGATGGTCTACAGTGTCGTTGCGATTTTCCCAAATCGCAATGCGAATAAGTAAATCGCAACGCGAATTGGGAAAATCGCAACGCGATACTGACTATCGCAATGCGATAATACAAAATCGCAACGAGATACTTACTTTCGCAACGCAATACTGACTTTCGCAACACGATTCTGACTTTCGTAACGCGATAATACATAATCGCAATGCGATTTTCAAAGCGCCATTAGTATCCTGGCCAAGTATTTTATTTTTAAATTCCAAACACGAAATTAATATTGGAACACTGAACCGTCCACAGTATCCCGTAATCGCAACTCATAACCTAAAACCTAAAATCACAACTCAGTCCCATCTCCATCTCTCACTCTCTCACCCATCTCCGACGAAATTCGTCCCCATCTCCGGCGAAATCCGTCTATCTCCATCTCTCAGAGCCACCCTCACAATCAGAAATGGAAAATCAACCAAATCAACCAACGAGGGTTAGTTTTTTTAATTATTTTCTTTTTGAAATTTTTGCATTATTATTAGGTTTTTCATATTGAAATTGATGATAAGTTTACTGGTAATTTCAATAATAGATTAACCATTTCACTTAGATTGCTTATTAATCAACCGAGAATCGCAACGCGAAATGCAAATCGCAACGCGATTTTAGTTTCGCGTTGCGATTCTCTCGTTGCGATAGTCAAATTCGCGTTGCGATAGTCATTTTCGTGTTGCGATTTTCATTTCGGAAACTATTCTTCTTCTTGCAAATTGAAACTTGAATGAATTGCATTACTTCAACCAAAAAACAAAGACAAATACGAATCACAGTGTTGCAAATTTAGTTTGAAGAATAAACTACTACTCTTTATGTTATTATTGTTTTTGGTATATCTTCACAGTGTAGCTTTTGGTATATCTAATTAGTATGTTTATTGTTTTTGTAGAACTTTTATTCGGCTCAATTGACTTGAGAAATAAAGTCAGCCTGGCCAAAACAATTGCGTCGAAGCTTTCACCTGCACAAAGAAAAAATGTTTGAGGATACATGCTTCGGGCCATGGCTGAAAGTACAACATCCCGGTGGAGATGCGATGTTGACACACCTGTTTCTTCAAACCATGACTAGCGATCTACCAGAGACTATACAACGTCGTGATGAAGAGATATGGTTTGATTTTCCACCGGCGTATACGTGTTTTGGGGCGGGAGGAGTTTTTCTTAATCACGGTCTACGCTTCGGACACGATGATGTAGGTTGGTACACTAGACACATTACCCGTCCATCATGGCTATCCCGGGTTTTTCCTAAGCTGGAGAGGCCGAGTCTACACGTAGAAGACCTGACAAGATTGTTGAATAATAAAGACGGTTTTACTCGGATGGATGACGTCGACGTTGTCCGAGTATGCCTTCTAATTCTTTTGCATGCCGGTTTTTTAGGCAGAGAGGCCAGACAACCTATTCCAAATGATCTAATCAAATTGGTAGAAGACCTAAATGCGTGGAACCTGTTTCCGTGGGGCTCGTATTTATGGAAAGCTACATGGAATAAGTTATCGTCTGCCTTGGATGATCGAAAAAGTTTGCATGGCGATGGTTCCAAATACACTTTGACAGGCTTTATTTGGGCCTTTAAGGTAAGAATTTTTATATGATGTTTCCAAAATTATAAGTAATTATTAACAATTACTAATGTTTGTTATTATATTGTTTGTAGATTTGGATATTTGAGGCCTTTCCCGCCATGAAGACATATGCAATAAAAACTTCAAATGATATTCTCAGGGCTATTTCCTGGAAGAGGAAACGGACCTTGCAATGGGAAGATTTACTACGGTATACGACAATAAATAATGTAAGTTAACATAAATACTACCATATGTTTATAAACAAGTTATTACTAGTACACGTTTAACTTTGTTTGAGCTTTTATATTGTTAGGAGGCCAACACTCCTCTATAGAGGCTGACACCCACGGAAGCTGAGCTTGCCACTGATTTGTGGCAAGCTAGTAAGCGTTTTTTTGATGGAACGGTTGATGAGCAGCCTCCACTTCAGGAGCCATCACCTCGCCCAGAGCTATCACCTCGCCCAGAGCTATCACCTCACCCAGAGCCATCATCTGATCGACCCGACTATACACCTTCACAACGACAGCCATCACCTATTCTGTCACATCATCGAGCCTCTTCTCCACCATCACCGCAAGATAGGCGACCGACAAAGATGCCACGATGTTTATCTCCCTGTTCTCCACCTCCACCTCAACGGGATGAGTTAGGAGAGTTATGTGATGAGGTCAATACCTTGCGTGAGGAGGTCGGTACTTTACGCAAAGACGATGGTGCATGGCGTGTTGAGGTGTCTACATTACGCGGTGAGGTAGCCGCTCTACGTGAGATGGTAGCATCGTTGCAGAATGAGGTTCATACTCTACGCAACGAGGTAAGTTTAAGATTTTTCATACTCGTAATTCATTCGGTTGCTACCAATACTGCAAAACTATTTTTGTTAGTATTTGTTTTTGGTTTTGTTTTTGTCTTTTGGTTGAAGTAATGCAATCCATTCAAGTTTCAATTTGCAGAAGAAGAATAGTTTACTTTCGCGTTGCGATTTTGTCGTTGCGCTTTTCATTTCGCATTGCGATAGCCATTTCCGCGTTGCGATTTTAAGTTTTGTGTTGCGAAAGTAAATTATTCTTCTTCTGGAATGTTTATATATGTTGTCCTTTTAAATGTTTATATAAGTGCTTACTTCTGGAATGTTATCTGAGCATTTTGTGAACTATGATAGAATAATGACTTGGGTGAATACAATGCTAGTTTGAAACATATTTGTCTTTGTTTATTATCATGTATGTTTATTTACTGATTTATGTATTAATTTTTTTAGCGGCCCGATAAGGTGGATGCTTTACGTCGGGTTTTCCTTGCACGATGGAGTTCACGCATCAGACGGCGTGGATGTGCTATTACGTCTCCGTTTACCCCAATGGTGCGAAGACTCCGCAAGAAGAAGCCCGACTCACCGGTCATCCCTCAAGAGTCCCCTCCAATCGTTCAAGAGGCCCCTATTCTCCCTCAAGATTCCCCCCCACCGTTCAAGAGGCCACTGTCATCGTTGAAGAGGTCCCTCCCACCATTCCAGAGCCCGATTCACATGGGTAATATATCGAAGTATTGAGAAACCCCCACCGGTTCCGGACATGATGGATGAGAGTTGGCTCTCGTATGAGTTACCGGCTAGTACCCTTCCGGTATCTGAAGTGGAGAGGAGACAACTACCGGAAACAATTGTGGATAATACCCTTTGGGCTAAGACCACAGTTGATTTTTATCTACATGAGAGGAGCCAAGGGTGTTACACTGACATCAGCAAACTCAACGATGAAATGTTTTTGTTGCTTGATCGGTCTTGGTGGGGTGTGCTATTAGGGGTTGAAGACAGTGGCTATTTGGATGGGGAGGTAAGTCTTATATTTGTCTTATATATGATTTTGATTAATTTGTTTAAAAATTAATGTAATTCACTAATATATGTATTTTTTTTGTAAAACAGCATATCGATGCGTGGGTGTCACGTCTACTAATAATAAGGAAGCTTAGGAAAAATAAAAAAAATTCGCTATATACAATAATGCCGACGGCTTTTCACGCAGTTCACTTGAAGAATCAACGAGATGAATCATTTTTGTTGGGCAATGGACAAGCTAAACTTTATCCTGCATGGTGGGATGTCGATAAGGTTAGTGCTTATTTTTTAAATTTTTTAAAGGTGTTCATAAATAAGTGCGCAAATAAATGAATTATTACTTATGATCGCAGGTGTTTATCCCTGTTTTGGAACGTCGTCACTGGCTTCTCGTCCAACTTCAGCTCCAATCCCTGAAGATAATAGTGTATGACAGCATGATCAATTACATATCACTGTCTGATTTGAGAGATATTTTCAAGGGATGGAGCTCTCATTTGGCTAAATTCTATGATGGGATTAAGTATTGGAGTCATTCTGGACACAAGAAGCCAAAGAAGTTCAATGTCACAGTTGTCAGAGACGAGACCGCGCCACAGCAATCGCCAGGAGCCAGAGGGGATTGTGGTCCTCTCGTATGCCTTTGCTTGGCGCGTTTGACGACGGGAAGCACAGAGTTTTTACCTCCCACCGATAGAGATAGAGCTGCAGTAGGCTTGTGGTTTCGGTATTATATGGCTAGAGCAATATATTCGAGACGCTGCCTATCTGCATCCGCGTTATAAAAGTGTCCATTGTTAATTGGTAAGTCAAATGCAAGTTTTGTTAACATATATACTCCTTTTGGTTTGAAAATGTTTGGTTAAGTACCTAGAATTCAATAATTTGCTGTTTGTAGGTTTTAGATGTGTAGGAAGTCTTGTTTGAGCAATGTTGGTTTCTGCAGGTTAATCCTTAAGTGAGCTGCGTGAAATGGATGTACGGGGTCACAAAGTTGTTGATTCATTGATTCAATAATTGATGAAGAAATAAGAATTATTATTATTTTTTGATTG